GCAAGGGCGGGGTGGGGTCCAGGGGAGGGGTGGGCCACCTCCTGCTCCGCCCACGGGACCGAGGGGCACACTGCAGAGCTGGGGCTCTGGTGGGTGGGGAGTTTCTCCCCCCCAGGAGTGACCAGTCACATGCTCGGGACAGGGATAAGGTGAACACTGATGTTTCAGAGGAAGGGGTCATTGTACTTGGCAGTGGGTGGGGACAAGGCTGAGGCCACAAGGGGCCCCTACATCTCCCCTGTGTCTGGGCCAGTCTGAGGGATCCTCTGACCCCCAAATTTGTGCAGGGTGGGGGACCAGAGCAGTCCATCTATCACGGTTAGTCTTGTTAATACGTTGATCCATGAGGTCAGCGGGGAGGGCTGTGGCTAGGAGGCTGGGGGCATGGGGTGAGGGATCCTGACATCCATGGCTTCACACCACTGTGCCGCTCGGGGAGTTGCCTGGTTGGGAGGAGATGCCCTGGGGAAGATGAGAGGGGAGACAGGAGGGAGTTAGAGACCACCTAGGGCTCTCACCAGTCCCATGGGGAGGCAGCCAGCCAGGTCAGAGTTCCCCCAGGCTGCTGCCCACCTGACTTTGCCCTTCAGTCCACCCCAGAACCCCCAGACAGAGGTCGCTGCTCTAGGCTCAGGAACTTACATCTTGGCTAGCTTCCCTGTCCCAGCAGGCGGCACTTTTATACAATAATTAAAGTCCTCGGGTGATCCTGAGCAAAGAGGACGGGGTGGAGGTGGAGGTGGGGAACTGGGGTCCCCTTCTGATTGGGGAGATTCTGAGATTCTAAAGGGGAAGGTCTTAGGGACAGTCCTACCTCTACCACTGACTTGCTGGGTGACCTGGGCCAACTTCCTTCCCCTGTCTGGGCCTCGGTCTCCTCGTCTGTGAACTAGGGAGATAAAGGGGTCTCTTTCAGAACTCACCAGAGTTCCCAAATTCCAATGCCCCTGCCTCTGAGACTGTGCTTTAAGTTCTAGGGATTCCAGACCCTACAATTCCAAAACTGCTCTTTCAGGGAACCAAGGCACAGCCCTCAGATCTAGCATCCCGGGCCCCTGAGCTCAAACCCTGAAGAGGCACTTGAGACCATAGCTCTGAAGTTACAAGGCATCAAGCCCATAGTTCATCTACTGGGACCTTTCTGAACCCCACAGCCACCCCAGGAGATGGGAACATCCACCCACCACCCATTCAAGCCTCCTCATATCCTCAGAGGTGACAAAGGTCAGAGAGAGGCAGAGACTTGCCCTAGGTCACCCAGGGAGCAGAAATACAGGACTGGACCCTGAGCCTGGGAGTCCACAGCCCAGGCCTCCAGCAGTGGGCTGGGATCCCAAGAGTCAGACCTAGGCGGGAAACTGGGCCCACAGGCTCAATCTTGCCCATAGAGCTTGACTGACAGTGTTAAAAAAAAGTTCACCGTTTAAAAATCGTATTTTCCACAAAATTAGATTTGGCTTTGAGTGACAGCAGTAAGACCTAGCCATGCTGCGCCCACTGGCTGCCTTCTGATCACTCGCCCTGGCCTCCACCACTCCGACGTCTCAACACCCAACCCACTCTCTGCTGACTGCTGCTTACCAAGGGTTCTAGAAGTCATTCTTAAGATCTGGGAAGTCTTGTTCTGGGACACTAACATTTCCGTGGCTTCCTCTCATCCCACAGGGTTAGAGGCTCTGACACTAACAAACCCCTCTGCCAATGCCCACCTCTGCCTGGGCCTGGGGTGGGCCATTGTGGGCTGACTCACCGCCTTGCCCGGCCGGGCCCAAGTACAGATGAGGCCCTCCTGGCAGGCGGTGATGATGCAGTCCT